TTTCTTATAAACCAACTAAAGCATACAAACTTAAACTTGGGCCTTGTTTCATTGAATGGTTGTTAGTGTTGTCGAGTTGATCCTTGAGCTATGAACTAAGGCTCCACACAAGTTGCTCCAATGAAGGTGGTAAAGGATGCGCTTTTGCAAAACCAGCCAACCAACTGCTTTTCTGAAAATATTAGGTTAATTTGTGAGGCCCATGTATGTACTCTGGATAGGGTTGCACTAAACAAGAAACATTCAACAAATAGCAAAATGATATGTTAACTTTTTACGAGGGATTACTGATGAATATATTAGTGATTAGGAATACGAAACTGTAAATCTAATGTAAGAGAGCTAACGTAAGTCTGAATTAGAATTTTAAAGCTGGATGTTTGATTTTTAATCTGAAATTTAAGATTGTTCTTAACCAATGGCATGGTTTTTGCTTTATTTATTTTAATTAATTGTTCCTCTACCCATATAATTGTTGTTTGTGTTTATAGTTCTTTTTTTCATGCATTATCTATATTATATTTTTCTTATTTGCACCTATTCAGTAAAGGGAGAACTTGAATTATGCCTTGCCTTAAAGCCCAAATGGTCCTTGCAGTTGTGTGTGCACGTGTTTTTTTTCCTTTTATTTATTTTTTTGTTCTTCCCTTGACAATTCTGGTGGTATAGATCATTCTTTGCTCTTCTTGATTGTATACTGTTAGATCTTGTCCAAAAGAAGTAAAAGAAAACATAGTCCTGCATGCATTTGATATTGTCTGCATGTGAATGACTGGACATCTTGTCGAACATGTCTGAAGCTGAATCTGGTTTCAGGTATCTCGATCACAATCAATTTTCTGGGAGAATCCCTGATGCCTTCTACAAGCACCCTTTCTTGAAAGAAATGTGAGTGTTCGTTCTTTGCTACTGAGCAACAAATTTTGGGTTTGTGCAAATACTAACATGTTAAATTATTGGCATAGGTACATTGAAGAAAACGCGTTCAGGCCTGGTGTAAAACCAATTGGCTTGCACAAAGTGCTAGAACTCACGGATGCAGATTTCCTTGTTTAAAAAATGAAGCTCGTACTGTTATTATTTATTCATCCGCAAGTGTACCTAGGTTGCCGAAAGAAGCAGCCGACCCCTGTCCTATCAGTGTCTATTCTTCAGTTGCTAGATGAGAAAAGATCATATTTTGTGCAAAGCAATCAACCAAACTTAGTTGCTGTTGCTGTAGTTTAATAGTTCCACGTAATGAATCACCATAAGTTATTCAATCAGCTGTCTCACTTGCCTTAAATACTTACGTTCGGTTTTGACTACAGTCAGATCTCTCTATAACATCCCTGTATAACAACATTTCACTATAAAAGCTAAGCTTTTCCGGAACCAATTTTCATGTTATGTTATAATATATGTTCTATATAACAGTATTTCGCTATAACATCCAAAAATATTCAGAACAAATGGGGTTGTTATAAAGAGGTTTTACTGTACAAGAGAGCAGACGTGTTACGTGAAAGGGTAGAGAATGCTGATAGGACAGATGATTTTGGAGAGGCGTTTTATTTATTTATTTTTCCTTCTAACTAATCATTTTTTGTGTGAACTATGAAATCGCTAGTACCAGTATTAGTTATTAATCAAACTAAATGATCTCTGTTTCTTTACTGAAGTGATGAGGCTGTAAACTCCAGGGGCTTTCTTTTCTAACGTTCTTGAGACGCCGTATCAAAAGTTTTTAGTTAAACGCAGGATCAACTAACGCGACCGCCGTTATGTGCAATATTAAACGGGGAAGATCACATTGTAACCTATGTGTACTTTTGCAAAGAACAATGCCTATAATGCAAAGAATAAAAGACTGTGGATCTCATTAATTTACTCACTACAGACATAAGTAAGCACATAAAAGTATGCCTTTTCAAATAATATAAGGAGTCCTTTGGTTCATGAGATAAGGGGCAATAATTCTGTGATAAAATTTAAAATTATTTAATTTTATAATTGGTTGTATTTTTATTTTCAGTATAAGCAGTATTCGAGATTGGTTATATCACAGCGAAAAGGTGGGAACAACTGATTTCGAGATAAAACAACGAAAAGACAAAAGTGCTTCCAAAGTACTGCTAACGTTTGGACATAGATTTGATTGAAACTTAAAAAATGAGTTTTTGAAGTTGTGTTAAAAGATAATTTTTGAAAGTTAAAGTTATGTTTGGACATGCATTTTATTGGAAGAAAAATTGAAGCTTTGTGAGTGGAAGAAAAAAATTCACTTTTTTTGGGAACTTGAAAATTTTTGAATTTTTTTTCTCAAAATATGATCATATTTCATAAACAAACAATGTTTTTTTTTAAAAAAAGGGAGGGTTTGACACAGTTACCCACAAAAACAAAACTATTTATCCTTGTCTACCCATTTATTTTTCTACCCATAAACTAATTACATTTCCTACTTATAGTAGTTTTTGTGGGGAATTTTTTCTTTATTCTCCAATTCTTTTTTATTTCTATGCTTCTTTTCTTTCTTTCTTTTTTTTTTCCTTTTTTTCTTTCTTTTCTCCTTTTCTTTTTTCTCATTTTCTTCCTATTTTTTTATTTTTTCTCTTTTATTCATTTATTTTTGCCGAATTCGTATTATTGTTATTTTTACCATAATTTATTTCACACTCAAATTTGACTCCTTCTTTATTTTTTTTATTTTTATTTTTTTCTTTATTTCTTGTTCCTTTTCTAATTCCACGCGATTGCCATACAAACCTTGATTTCCTTCCCTACAAATATCAGTACATACTCTACCATTAGCAGTAACACCAACCAATGATGGAGCAAGAAAACATAATCTACGGCCACTAAATCTCCATATATACTAGTTAGAATAGAAATGATAATAAAATATTGAAAAATGCAATAAAAATATAAGTAGCAAAAAAGACTTCTAGTACCATGTGATACCAATATGGTATACATGTATACCAACAGAGTATATGATTGCTCTAGAATATTGCTACAACTATCTGTGACTATACTACCGTACCAAAATATTAAAGGATACAATAAAAGTATGAGAAAATTACATGCTCGCATTGCAAGCTAAATATTCGAAAAGCAACTTGCTCATTCCATATACTAAAAGGGTATACAGTTGTATGGGTTGTTCCAACAATTGCCTATAATTATAAAAACTATTACAAAATACACATAATATATATCCATCAACACGCAAAAATTCTAGCAATGCAAATCACGTTCATATAAATAATTTCAGAATAGAATTCACTTTAAAATACAGCTAAAACAACCAAAAAATGTTCAAACTACCATATGATACCAATATAGAATATAATTATACCAATATGGTATACTGTTTTATTGTTTAATTCCCCGCAACTATATGACTATACTACTATTACATAACACACATGCATAAAGAGAAAAATAAAAAAAAATAGTGTATCATTTATTAATATAATAAAGTATTTCAAGATATTGTACTATATTACTATTATTAAAAGAAAATCAAATATTGTACGAATAAATGCAGCTAATACAATCAAAAAATGATTCAACTAGCATATGATACCAGTATTGTATATAGCTATACTAATAGGGTATATAATTGGAATGAATTGTATACCAAAATGGTATTTTTGTATACTATTTGAGTATATAATACAAATTCGTCTTCTTCTCTTGTTCAACTATATTTCAACCCAAACTTCTAAAATCTACTACAAAATCTCCACCAAATTGACTAAAACTTTAGCTACAACCTTCAATCAACTTTCCAAACAAACCCACATAGGATCGGATCAAAATAATTAAAAACTCAAACAAACCAAGTTATGAGTTTCAAGCTTTAAGGTCCTTCAACGGTGAATTCGAATTTTTGTACAATAAATCTCCAAAAATCAGTTTGAATGAAGAGAAAGAAGAAGGTATTTAATAGTCAAAATATCAAGTGTCTACCTTTATTAGCTAATAGGGTATTCAATAGTCAAAATAGGGTTTGAGAGTAATAATCTCCACAGGAAGAGATTCGGAATTCTCCACCAAGTTTGTTAATCAATCAGCATAATCCGAATGAGTCACTCATGCCAGTTCGAGGAGTTGATGAACTTCCAAAGCCACCAGTCGCAAACAGATGTAAGATTATTGGGAAATAATCGGGTAAATAGTTTAGACAGCATGAGTAGGAGTAGTAAATAGTCTGGACATGGGCATTAAAGGTAAATAGTTTGGAATTAATGGGTATAAAGTGAGGGAAAAAAAAAAGAAATTTGAAAAAATGAAGCCAAAAAAATGTTTGGATTAAAAATGAAAACAAAAATTTATCCATGTTTATCTGTTAAAACTAAAACACATAGTACTATTTTATATTATATGTGTATTTCGTTTTTAACCCGATGAATCAATATATCCAGTAAATGATTCTATTATAATTTAATCCCTGTATTAAAATTCTCATATTACAATTTCGGTATATCTTGTTTGCAAACCAAAAGACCCCTAATTATTACAGGACACGTGTTACATTCTAAAATGGTACTATACCATGGTCTCGAGTTCAGTGCCACTCTAACATCTCCTGTAGTCGAGCACAAAATATGTGAAAATGGAAGCTAAACTTGAGTATCAATCTAATAGATATCTGAGAAACTATGTTTAAATTCCTAGGAAATGATTACAACAGCTGCTGTCCACTCCAATCAGAACATTAGCACTGTCCGTTCGGTTAAAATGAAGCTCAAACCACATCATGCAATTGAATATTGCTGAATAAAAGAATATGATAGATAAACCATGTTTTCCTATTGAGGCAAATTCTTCAGGTATAAGAGCTTTCATAAAGAGAAGCCAGTGTTATCAAAGGCCAAAAATCCTCTAACGCCTGTTGGGGCTTTAAACGCAAATAAAGCATGAGCTTTAATGAAAAAAGGAGCAAATGGAGAAACACCACAAATATATATGTGTAGTCCAAGACTAATATCTGTAAACATGAATACCAAATATATGGACAAAGAAATTGAATTTTTTTTATGATAAAGTAAAATATCAATTGTTTAGTGTCGTCTCTTAAAGATTACACTCATTGGCGAGGAAAAGTATGTCTTAGAGCTTTGATGACAATACTGAAGAACCCGCTAAGCGAGACGAAGCGCTCAACATGTTTTGAGCCTCGATTCAGGATTTAAGCGTGCTTTAAGCGCCGCCTTTGATAACGCTGAGAGAAACTAATCTAAAGGTCACCACCAAGCTGACTTCTCCAAGCTAGTTCAGCAACAGCAACCACTAAGCTAAGGAGAATGTCAATGGATCTGTGAACTGATATATTATTAGTCCACACTGAGACTAGAAAAACTCAAGTGTTAAATCCCTCAATAAACAAGAAATTTACACCAACCTTGATATGAGAACTAAGATCACACTGGTGAGGCATGCTTACGAATGCAACCAGAGGTACTGCGCATTACAGCTTCACAATCCAAGTCAAGGAAGCTTTAGAAAGAGAATTTCTCAAACAAATTGTAGAGAACATCTCAAGCCGTGATCTCTCTGACCAGCCACTCTAAAGCAGGATAGGCAAAGTACAATACTAGGAAAGACGGAAGTCCAAAGAGAATGGTGATCACTAAATAGAGTGCTAGAACAGCTGCACAGGAGGGTATTGCAAACATAACAAGTAGAAGCAGCACAATAACTAATGGAAACTTGGATGTAAGGCGGATAAAGAAATCAAGGGACTTATGAAGAGAAAAGTGGGCCCTCTGCAATGTAGGGGTACCACCAGTATGGTTATAACCAGTAGCATTAGAGACTAGAGATCCTGGTCGATGAACCCTCCTGTAATTCATGACAGAGCTGCTGTTCCCCACAACTGAAGTGCACGGGGCAGACCACTCTTGTTGATGATCCCTACATATGGCAGATGGAGACTTCACCCTGTCACCATTTCGGCTTTCCACCATCCAGAGGAGGAAGAAATTCTTGCTAGGAAATTTGAGATTCCCGTTGAATGCCAATCGAAATGTCAACAAATTGCACCATGGGCAGGAAATGAATAATGGAATATGGACCTGTTGAGTGGAAACCTTCATAGAAGCAGGCTTAAGGCCCAACAGACAGTTCTTGCAAAGCGTGTGACCACACCACAAGACATAGGGGATGTTCTCTACAATGTTAAAAGACTCCCAGCATATTGGGCATTCAAGCCCTTCCTCGGAGCTGGCATTAGAACAGGCATCGTCGTCGTCATCTGAGAATTCATGGCAAGCTTGACTGGGCTCACCAGATTCCTTCTTCTGTCCAAAGCTTGTGATGGCATTTGAAATAGATCTCCACATATCAGGGAGCAACTTAAATTGCTTACAATTACTCGAGTTTGCAACTTGGCTTATACTTGTATATGGTACTAAAAGATGAGCCCAACCTTCAGAGTAGCACGCCTCTTGGTTCAATCTTAAACACTTCTTGCTTCTGTTTTGAACCTGAATAACACTGAGAGAACTAGTCATTAATCGATCATGTCTAAATGATAGAAAACTTAAAAAGCACAAGCAATAACAGATTAAAATAAGAGCTGGATTGTGTTTACGCCTCCTCATTAATCAAGGCCTCTCACATAAATGGCAAATACAAACTGTTGCACTTTATTGTCCCACTGCCTTTTATTAACCACCAGCCAAATACAGGAAAGATTCATTCTCTAAAGAACTAGCAAAATAGATCAGCATTTATTTAGTATTTCAATGTTAGAAGTTTTGACATTTGTTACGTTCTTTTTTTTTAATAACTAAGAAATACCTGAGGATTAGCTGGTGCACGGTTCGAAACTCGGTGGATAAAGGCCCTACCCCTCTATCTTTCTCCACTTAAATACTAGGCTTTGGTCCATGGCAAGGTTCAAACTTGTGATGTGCGCCTAACTTTTGACAATTTTCACATTCTAATTCACTTTGTATAGTTATAAGCCCCACCACAAAATAGGCTAACAAAACTGATAATACGCAAAAGGGATAATCATGACAAAATAGTCGATGCTAATCTAGTACTTCTTTAAGTGTGCCAGCCATCTAAATGAACAATTTATCAATGAACTGAACATTAATCCTAAATTAGTTGGGCTGGCTATATGAATTCATTTTATCCTTTCTGCAATTATTCAGGTCAGTATTAAGAGGATTTATCATAGTTAGAACCTTAGGACTTCAAACGCATACGATTTGCAAAATTCACATAGGCTTCATTTTCAAAGTGAACAGTTATCCATTTATAAAATTTTCCTCCATCAGTGACACTTTGTAATTCAATGGATATATCTTAGTTATACATTCATCAGTCATGACTAAAAGATTTATATACAAAGGATGTTATTTGGCATCAATTGACTATCTAAAAGATCAAAGCTTTCTTTTACTTTTTGTTTCAAACTCAGTAATTCAAATCAATCAATCCCTACCCAGTTGGGTTCAGCTATATGAATCCACTCTATCCATTCCACACTACTCAAATCCAAATTCACACATCATATCCGTATATAAGCTTAAATATATCAGGACAATTGCATTGTCTTCTAATCATTAGCATATAAAAGCAAATAAATAAACAGAAAACCAAAAAAGATATAAAGAAGAAATTTTTTAAAAACCATGAATCTTGAGTCCCACATACTTAGGGAATCAATTGTACGGCATCAATCACAGGATTCTTACATAAATTTCTTTATCTTACGTGCATGCAAAATACAATTTCCAGATAAAATGATGCATATAATGTTAATTCAGAGGACAATTTGGATTTAATCCTTCGTAAAATAAAAAAACTCGACAATCTTAGTTCGCAGATTCAAAAAAATAAAAATAAATAAATAAATAACCATAGACTGTTTAATATGCTAAGAGTGTGATGAAACTTACTTGTATTGGGAAATATAAAATATGATATAATTGGAGAATTCTCCATGAATAGGAGAGAGATCAGAAGAGAAGTGGATTCTCTCTCTGCTATCGAGTCCGAAACTTAAATAGTGCCAAAAATGGCACAAAATAGGTTTCTACTATTAAAAAAAAAGATACATAAATATATAAAACGCAGTATAATACTGCGTTTTACTTTAACGAAAAGTTAGCCGTTTAAGTTAAACGCAGTACTATACTGCGTTTTATTAAAAAATTAATTTTTTTTAGGAAAACGCAGTACAATACTGCGGTTAACTTAAACACAGTATTGTACTGCGTTTCCCTATACTATTTGGGCCCACTTCTGCAGGACTGCAAATCCCTATAATTTATTATAGGAAAATGCATTACAATACTGCGTTTCCTATAATAAATTATAGGAAAATATAGGGCCCTTCTTAATAAATTAAGAAATTTATTCCCGAAGCCATTGTTCCCCACCACTGC